TAACTTCCAATTAGTTCCCAGTGTTTTAATTAACTCTTGAGTTACCTTAGAGGTGAAGGCTGGTCCATTGTCTGACCCAATCACAGAGGAGAGTCCATACCTTGGTATTAGTTCATCAGTGATCTTTTTAACCACCTTTGAGGCAGTTTCCCCCTTTGTGGCAAATGCTTCGACCCATCCTGAAAATGTATCTACAAAAACTAGGAGATATTTATAGCCATACCTGCCAGGTTTTACCTCAGTGAAGTCCACCTCCCAATGGACTCCAGGCACAGTGCCCCTCTCCCTTCTGGCTGGGGGCATGACTTTTCCTCTTGGATTAGTAACCTGGCAGGAACAACATCTGGAAAGACAGCTCTCAATCATTTTGGTTAGATCGAACATGTGGTACGGAGTCAGGAGTTCTTGTAACTTTCTCTTTCCTAGGTGAGCCCCTTTGTGAAGTTTATATTTTAAGTCCTCTGCCAGTTTATGCAGCAAAATGAGCCTCCCATCAGAGGTGTATCTCCATCCATGCTTGATCTTGGTATTTTCCAGGGAAGTTAAATCCTGATCATCCTGAGCTGAGTAGGAGGGCTCTTCTGGCAAGAGGGGTTCAGGCAGGATAACCAGTAGGTTCAAGGCTGTTAGGGCTGCTTCTCTGGCTGCTAGGTCCACTCTCCTGTTTCCCTGTGCCTCCAGTGAATCCCCTCTTTGGTGCCCCAGACAATGGTTGATAGCCAGTCTCTTTGGTAACCATATGGCCTCCAGGAGTTTTAAGATCTCTTGTTTATTTTTGATAGTCTTTCCTTCTGCTGTCAGGAGCCCCCTCTCCTTGTATATAGCCCCGTGGACATGAGCCATAGCGAAAACATAACGGCTATCAGTGAAAATGTTAACAGTCTGGTCTTTACTTAGCTTTAAGGCCTGAGTCAGGGCAATTATTTCAGCCCTCTGGGAAGAGGTCCCAACTGGTAGGGAGGAGACCCACACTGTCCGCAATGGACTGAATACCGCTGCCCCCGAGTACCTGGTTCTTTCCTTAACGAAGCTACTTCCATCCGTGAACAGACTTAAGTCTGGGTGGGGCCATGGAACATTCGTCAGGTCTTCCTGAGTGCCATGTAAACTGCAGAGTACCTCCAGGCAGTTGTGCAGGACCTCAAGATCCAGTTCTGACAGCAAAGTGGCAGGATTGAGAGCAGTGCTGGAGAGGAACTGGATGCGAGGGGGATTAAGGAGCAAGGCCTGATAATGCATCAGCCAAGTGTTTGTCATTTGGTCGGGGGGATTTTTAAGGACCCCCCTCAATCGAGTGAGGGGTGGTAACTGTAAGGGGCTGTCCCAGCATGAGCTTATCTGCATCCTTAACCAATAAGGTGGTGGCTGTGATAATTCTGAGGCAGCCCGGCCAGCCCGAGGCCACAGGATCAAGCTTTTTCGACAAGTAAGCCACAGGTCTCTTCCAAGGCCCAAGCATTTGGGTCAGGACTTTCATTATTCCCGCTCATTCATCAACAAAGAGCTGATAGGGCTTATGGATATCTGGCAGAGCCAAGGCCGGAGCCTACAATAAAGCCTTTTTAATTTCTTGAAAGGCCCTCTCCTGAGTCTCAGTCCATAGGAAGGATGACTCACTCCCTTGAGTGTCTTCATATAGGAGTTTTGCCAGCTCGGCGAATGCAGGTATCCAGAGCTGGCAGAATCCTGCCGATCCCAAGAACTCTTGCAACTGCCTGTGGGATCTTGGGCTTGGAATTCCCGTAATGGCTTGCTTTCTGGCTGGTGACAGCCACCTCTGCCCATCCCTTAATATGTACCCCAAGTACATTACCTCTGTGACACAGAGCTGAGCCTTCTTGGTGGAGACCTTATACCCCAATAGGTCCAAGGTCAGGAGAAAATCTCTGGTGGCCTGAAGACAAGTGCCCTCATCCTCAGTAGCAATCAACAGGTCATCTACGTACTGTAGGAGGCTTGCACCTCCGGGTGCAAGGCCCAATACTCCTGCAAGTCCTGGTGTAGAGCCTCATCAAAGATCATGGGGGAGTTCTTGAACCCCTGTGGCAGTCGCTTCCAAGTGAGTTGTCCATTAAACCCCTGGTTCGTGTCTCACCACTCAAAGGCAAAGACGGGTTGACTTTCCTTTGCCAAGATTAGGCTAAAGAAGGCATTCTTGAGATCTAAAACAGCATAGACCCTTCTCTCCAGAGAGAGAGAGCTCAGCAGGGTATACAGGTTAGGGACTGTAGGGTGGATATCCTCTACCTTCTTGTTAACTTCTCTCAAATCCTACACTGTGTGGAAATCATTAGTCCCCAGTTTCTTGATGGGTAGGAGAGAGGTGTTCCATGGAGATTGGCATGGAACTAGAATACCAAACTCCCTAAGGTGGTTTATATGTTTGGTAATTCCTGCCCTGGCTTTGAGAGTCATTGGGTACTGTTTTACTCTTACAGGCTGAGCATTAGTTTTTAAAGTCACCATTATTGGTGGCTGTTGGATGGCCCTCCCTGGGGAATTAATTTCCACCCAAACTCAAGGGATTGTTGCCTGGAGGTCCTTGAGGCTAGTGGTTGGTCTCTTTTGAGGGGGTGGGGCGTGCACTCTCCATTCTTCTTCTAATTGTAAGCATAAGATATAGACTGCATCCAGTACAGTCACATCAGGAGGTCTTCTCCCAGAGAAATGGATTTGAGCCTTTATTTTATTTAGCAAATCCCACCCAATAAGGGATATGGGCACTCTGGGACCACCATAAAGGAGTGTGAAACTGTCTTCTTACCTGTTTAACTCCTTTTGGTAGTCCAAGGGCGCGGAGCAATTCCTGTGGCCCCTTGCACCCAGGTGCATTTACTAGTCAATTTTCCCATAGGCTCTTTTAAAACTGAATATTGTGCTCCGGTGTCAACTAGGAAGTTGACGGCTCATCCCTCCACTTGTAGCATCACCCAGGGCTCATGGTGGAGGTTTGCCAAGCCCGGGCCACTTCAGTTTTCTAGGTTCGCCAAGTTGAGGATCTTGGGCTTAGAGGGAGGCTGGGATCCCGTCCTTTGAGGACATTCCCTAGCCCAATGGCCCAGCTGCTTACAATATGCACAATGGCCTCTTTTTAGGTGGGGCCAACCTTCCTGTGGGGGTTGTGGGGCTCAGGTTCCCTTTTTCATAGAGGGTCGGTCCCCCCATTTGGGATTTATTGCTCTTTCAGCCAACAATATCCTAGCCAACCTTTCTGTTTGTCTCTTTCTTCAGGGGTTTCTCTGTTGTTAAATACCTTGTTCACCACCACTATCAGCTCAGAAAGGTTTTTGCCCTCGAAACCTTCCAGTTTTTGAAGTTTTCATTTTATGTCTGGAACTGCCTGATTTATGAAAGCCATACTGATGGCCATCTGATTCTCTAGGACCTCTGGATTTATGGGAGTATAAGTTCTGAAAGCCTTTAACAGGCATTCCAGGTACGCTCCAGGAGACTCATCTCTTCCCTGCATCACCTGACTGACCTTAGACAAATTGGTGGGTGTTTAGCAGCTGCCTGGAGACCCCCCATAAGAATCTGGCAATAGGCCTTTAGGCATTCCCTACTTTCGGGGGTGTTATAGTCCCACCCTTCTGTTGGAAGCTTGAGAGGGACAGCAGCCATAATCAAATCCTCATTCTCTGTCAGTCACCCATCATTTCCAGGGACCGCGTGTCTGCATTCCCAATGGATGCAGTTCCATTCCTCAGTGGTGAACAGGGTATTCAATAACTGTTGGCAATCATCCTAAGTGGGTTGGTGGGTAAAAAGAATGGTATCCAGGAGGGAAATCAGGGCCTGAGGCCTCTCTGTGAAGGAGGGAGTCTGTAACTTCCAATTATAGGAGTCACTAGTAAAAAAGGGAAAGTAGACTACTGGGGAAATTCCATCCTCCCTCGGGGACCCAATCTCCCTCAGGGGAAGAGCTCGCACAATTCTCCCCTCCCACCACGAGTGAGTGTGCATTGGGCTGGGCTTGGCCACAGGAAGTGCTGGCTCATCCATGGGAGCTGGGTATGGAGACCAGGAAGGACTGGAAGAAGAGGAATATGCTCATGACCTGCACTCCCTATGTGGTGGGAGTAAATCTTCCTCTGGCACCGAGGGAAGAACCTCGGGACCCGATGGGTTTTTGGTCTGGACTTTCTTCAGGGGAAGCAAAGTGTCTGGCCGCTTAGGACCTGATGGTGGGGGTGGGAGTAGGATGAAGCCAGTGGGGGGGGACAGAAACAAGATATCACCAACCTAGGACGTATGGGATCTGGTCAGGGTGTCCCAGTTCCCCAAAGATAACTCCTTGAACCCTGTAGATGAGGGACAGGTTAAAGGACCCTTCAGGCAGCCATTCAAGTTCAAAGGA